GGGGTGCAGGGCAGGCAGATGAGGATCGTCAGATTCGTCGGTCGGATCTTGGCTGGGCTGGGTTTGCGTAATCTTGATGCAGGGTAAGCAAAGAGGTGTTCGTGTACGGGAGAGCCAGTGATCAGCCTGACCACCACTACGGGTAGTTTATCCGGGAGCCATCGATTGACTTAGTACGCATATTATTTACCATGAGTACGTACATGTGTATGTTAATGCCGTGATGGTCAGCGCAGGGTTCCTGGACCCTGTTTTTCTTCGCTCTTTTCCTCCCCTCGGCGGTGGAGGGTCTGATTGGAAGGAAAACGGGGGGAGCAGAGTCATCCGGGGTAAATTTCTTGTTTCTCATAAGGCTGAGTGGTGAACTTTGGCTATTTGGTGCTCACCGAAATGCCTCGAAGTTTCTTTCCCCCCTTGGCCCCCCAAACAAAAACAATCCTCCCCCCAGATTATTCCCCAGCCAGGCCCAGGACCATTGAACTCAAACCATACGACCCGACCATATCGAAGCATACTGTAGAAACAAATAAATCTAGCCTCAATTTCCCATTAACAAAGCAACAAACATAGTCCAGACTTAACCCAAATCCTCACCCTCATTGTAAATCCTCGAGAAAAGAAACCCTTGACGTCAGCCGGGGGCTCCCACTTGCAACCAAGTGGAGTAGATACAAACCGTGCACTCACCACCGACCCCCAGCGACGATCCTTCCCCTTCGGCAAAGCAAAACCTCAACCCTCAACCCTCAACCCTCAACCCTCCCACTCCCACTCCGTCTTCGGTCTGCGCTTGGACAATACACAGCCCAAAAAAATATCGCGCACAAACATTCTGGACCCGGTTTTTTGACGTCAAGTCACCTGGGTCCTCTTGCCATTGTGCAGGAACGACATCCGCCGAAAGCACGTTCACCGTCATGGGTGCTTTTTTTTTGTCTAGGGGAGGCACGTGCGGCGTTGGCGGGTTGGTGCGATTTCGGGGGGTGGTGGTGTGATATGTCGACTTTTGTAGACGTACATGTTGCTGGTGTGGTGATTTGGTGCACCTACTGAGTGCAGATAATACTAGTTGTATGCACATGTCATGTAGAGGTGAGCAGAGCTGCAGGTCATGCTGGATGATCTTCTATCGCCTATCCTTACTGGCGGTCGGAGGTTACTGCCCTGACCGGAAGTACTAGGTAAGGATACACTCGCCACATGTGGAGAGATGTCGACCACTCCTGTTGTCTACGGGGAGTTGTTGGTGCGATGGGCAGGGGTGCGGCTACGGTGCTGGATTGGTAATATGGGTTACGAAAATGTGCTCTTATTTGTCAAGGGTTGAATCCTGGCTGAACGAGGCCACAAGGCTGAAAGCAATATCCCATGAAGAGCGCGTTGAGCACGTTGTCAGTTCTCTGAAAGTCAAGGGAAGATGGTGTAACTCGGTCACATGATCCAGCCCCGGCCTACGGTGGGCTACTCGTTCCAATTTGCAATAACTCCAATTCTGCTGGCAATACTATATTGTTAGCTTTTTAAGCCCGCTTAGCCTCAGCAAAATCATATAACTTCAAGTTATATTAGGATTATTAGGGCTATTAGAGTCTTGAATATTTTCGTACTAGAGTTCTACATTAGAAAATCTTGTATATAATTTTTATGTTAGATTAGTTAGAGAAGAAGACGGTCTATTAGACAGTAAGACTATATATAGAAATACTATAGAAAATGGAGTTATTACAAATTGGCACGAGTAGCTTGCCGTACTACCTGGCAACAAGCCAGGCGCTGCCCTCATACATGTAGCCACCGCAGCAATACACCCAAAGGAACTGCAATTTAACCGTAAAGAGTAACCGCACTTCTCATTACCATTAATCATAACCACCATGCATCTATCTATTAAGTGAACCCCAGTCCACCCATCTATCCCTGTATATATGTATGGAAAGAAAACGCTATGCAAGACTCAACACTTCCCCCTTTTTTAGTAACTCAAACCAAAAAACTTTTAATGAGCCAATTGACTGGCTAGTTTGCTCTTGGCCCGGATCTTCGGCCCGTAGAAGACCAGCACCCAGGGCACGATGACCAGGACGGCTCCCTATAGGTAGCCAACAAAGTTAGCACTCCGCCTATAACCCCCGATCAAGAAACGGAGATGAAACGTACAATACCACCCAACAAACTCGACGCCCCGGGGTACCCCACGTTCGTGAACAGAGCGTTGGTGACGAGCGGGAAGACGCCGCCTAGGAGGTTGCGGCCTGTTTCCATTTCCCGTTAGTTAATCCCCATCTGGGGTTGACAGCAGAGGCAGGGAACATACAGCACGACTGCGCGGCGATGGCCGAACTGGCGAACCGGTGGTAGGTGTCGGCCAGATAATTGAAGACGGCCAGGTAGACGGCGAAGATGCCCATGGTGGCGCACCCGATCGCCATGGTCGGGGAGATCCACGCGATGGACGAGTACGAGGTCCAGCCGAACCAGAACAGGCCGATGGGCATCAGCACCGCCTCCACACACACGAAATACAGGCGGGCCTCCGGGGTGCGCGGGAGGAGGTTGTAGTGGTGGGCGATTTTGTCCTGGTAGATGCTGATCACCGTGATGAGGAGGGCGCCGACGCACATTGCTCGAGGATGTTAGCATGGGGACGGACTGGTTGGGATAGGCATGGGGAGAGGCATACAGGTGAAGACAGCGCCGGTCTGCTCGATGTTGAAGCCATGATTGGTGCGGAAGACCAGCGGGATGGAGCCGAATTGCAGGTACAGCACCGCCCAGCTGAACGAGACCCAGAGCGAGAAGAAGAAGACGACCGGTTCGCTGACCAGCATATCTGTTCGCCAGCGTTAGCACCACAGGACATTCTGTTCCGAACCAGAGACGACAAGGGCAACGCACGAAAAGGCCGATACACCGAGACCCCGATCATCTTGACCAGCGACACACGCTCCTCGTCACTCTTGACCCGCCAGCGAATCCGCCGGACCTTCCCCTCCTCCAGCATCACCCCGAAGTGGCCCGCCGCCTCCAGCTGCTCGTAGTACCGGTTGATCGCCTGCGCCTTCCGACTCAGCAGCACGCTGCCGCGCGTCTCCTTGAAGAAGCAGAAGATCACCACCACGAAGAAGGCGGCCACGATCGCGTGCGAGTAGTACACCCACCGCCAGGTCGTGTGGTGGACGATCGCGCTCGAGATCAGCGGGGCCAGCCCCGTGCCGAACAGCGCCGCCCCGGAGAACAGCGCCATCGGCGTGTTGCGGTCCTCCGCGTGGTAGATGTCGCTGATCACCCCGCCCACCATCGTCGAGAAGGTCGACGCCCCGATCCCCTGCAGGATCCGCGCCACGAGGAGGCCGCCGAAGATGTGGGTGCCGCCGCACGCGAGGAGGGATGCTGCATGAGAGACGAGAAGTTAGCGGGATGAGTTGCCACTATTATAATACTGATGTAGCTTATCTCGCAAGGGAAGGGGAACCACCCACCAGTGAACAGAATCCCGCTAGCCACGAAAATCGGCCGCCGCCCGTTGATCTCCGAGAAGGGCGCCAGCACCATCGGCGCCAGGGCAAACCCGATACAGAACACGGTGATCGTCAGGTTGTAGACCACCGCGCTGACCCCCCACTCCGCCGTCAGCACGCTCGAGGCGGGACTGACCTCGCCTGCGGAGTATCCGGCCAGCGCGGTGACGGCGCAGGCGATCCAGGTCATCATCGACTTGCGCCATTTCGGCCACAGGAACGGGGAGATGTATTTCTCGAGGTTCGGCGGGTCGGGCGGGGCGGACTGGTTGGGGCCGGGCGGCAGCGTGATGCACGGGGTGGGCAGCGGCGTGTTGAGTTCGAGGTAGCGCTGTTGGATCTCCTGCGTCGAGGGGTCGAAGCCGACAGCGCCCTTTTCGTCCTCGGCGAGGTAGGCGTTGGTGGGTGTGGTTGTGCCGGTTTCGGGCAGGAAGACGGTGCCGGTGGTTGACGAGCCCGAATCGTCGAGGGGACCCCGCGGGGTGTCCGAGGGGGGATCTTGAGGCATTTGTGATTCTCACTGTGATGGTCCGTATCCGAGTGCACTGGTGTATCTGAGCGTGTGCATGTGGGGAGCAGGTTGGGTTTATGTGTGTCAGCACATATGTCGTCGTCCCTCGTCACCAGACCTTTACGAGGAAGCAGGGATGTGGAAGTTATTTAAGAAAGGATGACGCCGGTGGATTTGTGGAGGAAAAGCACACAACACCAAATTGGAGAAATCTTCCTTCGGGATGTTCTCCGAGGGCGCCAGATAATGAGGCCTGAGCTGCCCTCCGGAGTTGGCACCTCCCTCCGCATTCCTTGCCCACTTGTAGACTCATGGCGCTATACAAGTGGCCTGTTGCTGCAGGGTGTCTGGCCTCATGCTGTCAACCTATCGCACTCCCCAGTCCCGATATTCGATGCCAGATGACTTGATCGAATATCAAGGGCAGCACGAATGTCGGCCGATACCCGCGCAAAAGCCAAAGCAGCGCCGCACGCGCAAATTCTGTCCTGGGTTGGGGAAACCGATGTCTCCACTTTCTCCAATTCGGAGAAGCCCTTCTTTGACTCACTCGCCGTGCGACCAATCGCATGGCTTCCTCGTGCCGGATCCCGGCTGCTGTCATTGGTCAGAGATTGCTTTCGGCACTGGTTGCGATTAGATCGGAAAAGATAAGCCGCACTCGGCTGGGCTGGGTGTACCAGCCAGCCTGAGCTCTCATCTGAATTGACTGAGCAGGGGCTTTAGCATACATAGGCATAGTGGCTCACGATCACTTACGCGCTGGTCTGTTATCTAGTGCCCCACGTATGGGAGCATCGCCAGACGGTGCAGCTTCGGTGGCATATCCTGTCCAATAGACCCGGGTGACTGTGCAGCTGCATACGTCTCTTACTTGGCAGACCGACCGTGTACGTCGATACTGTTGATGAATTGTAAGCGAGAACACTCCATAGAAGTGGTGAGGGTTGGTGCTTACCGGGTAAGTCGGAATAAGCAAGACGCTCGGGCAACTTGAAGGCGCGCTTACGCACCATTATTGAGTCGACACCATCTGTAAGTTATTCTCCATTTTGGGGAGAGCAAGGGGCCAGCGGTTGTCTGGAGCATGTGATCGTCGTCAGTGAAGTTCATGTTGTGCCCAAATTGTTATTTGATTGCGCTGTATCTGTATCCGCTTCTGTGGTATATGGCGGATTGCTGAATTCGAGAAGAACAAGAGCGGTCGGGGTGGGGAGCGAGTATTTCCCACACGAAGGTGTTAACACCAGTTATCTTGAGAAGGAAGGTTTGGCCTAAAGACTGAATAAGCCTCTACTGCAACAAGCATGTGTCTCTCATAAGTCGGGTACCTGCTATGCAATTCATGGCATTTGGGAGCTTGGGTGCGGCAATGATTTCCTTCAGGTGCGTTCACTATGAAGGGACTAGCGAGGTAGACGTGCCAGGCTAGAGATCGACTCTGCATCAGGTACGGTAGGCTACATATTATGCGTCATGCTTATGCTTAGTTAGACAGAAGTACGCAGACACCATAGAAACAGAGCAGCAGTGTGAACGCTTACTACAACGATGATCAGCAAGCAGTACTGCGCTACGACGAGCAAGACCTGCTTGATCTGTTCTCCGAAACACTCTTTCAATTGTTAGTTTGTTAGCTAGCCTTTCGGAAATGGTTGGGCAGCAGCAACTTGGAAACCCAGAAGAATCAAAATCAGAATCATCGCCGATTCAAGCAATGCACTCACTACCAACGTATAGCGACACCAGACAGACAAGGCAAAGGTCGGAGTACCAGCACACCCATGTTCTAGTCTTATAGAATCACTCGTCGGGGGATAGAGTGGTAGCTGACTCTGGAAAGCTGACTCCGGCGCAAAGCAGAGTCAGGGGCTCGCTCGGGCCGACCCATGATCATGTTGTTTGAGACTATTAAGAAAACGGTCGCCTCACTAGTCCTGTAGGTGCTTCCAGAACCTCCAAGTCCAACCTTCGAACTGTAGCTCAAGGCCTGATATTCTGAGACAATATGCATTCATTTTAGTCACATTGCGGTGCGCGGTGGAAATGGACGATCGGACAATCCCCATCAACCAACGGCTCCCGTTTCTCCATTCCCAGACAGGGTGCGGAAAGTGAGTGAGACATTCCAACAGCAAATCACCGAAATTGCATGTCGACCTGTCGCTAGCGTAATGGTGATCATGATTTTGGGAGTTGAATGTGCTGGTCGGATTAGGTCGTGCAGCCCGGACATGAGAAACATGTCGATAGTCGGGAGATTCTCAGACCTCGTCTCCAAACCCCGCTCGCTAGAGAATATAGACTGAAAAGTAAGACACCAGGGGGATTGACAAGGGAGAAGAGTGAAGCTTCGTACGATGAATACACGATGTATCTCAAGTAGCGCAGCCAGCTGCCCCTCACACAACCAAAAGGGTAGAGCTGAAAGGCCTCATATGCGAGGAAAGTAAGTATGCTGTACGTTGTTTTCATGCACCAAGCTACGGACGTCGACGGGGTGGATTATGCATAAGAGAGACACCCTGAATTGGACGCATTGGAAAGGGCGCCGGGCGGAGATTGTCATTGTTTCACCTGATGGTCAATTTGACCCCGCCAAGACCTGCAGGACACATGAGGCCAGCGTGCTATTTTGGGGATCGCATTGTTTGTGGCAACTGGCAAAGACACGGGCATATTCGGTGCAGAATTAACTATCGTATTCGCATCTCATTCTAAAGGTGTGGTTCAATTCCTGGTCAGGAGGCGTTTATGCTTCTGCCTAAACAGACCATATAGCATGTCTGCTGAACATTTTCGTTGGTGTATGCAATCCAGCGGCAGCACTCTCCCCCGGCCGAATCTTCTTCAGGAAAAAGAGGGGTGGAAACCACCTCAATTGCCACTGAAGGTACTCTAACTCATCCATGATCTTCGATGTTCCGAGACAAATGTGGGGGTGGCTGTCCCGCACTCATTACCTCATAACCCCCTTTGGGGGGGGAAAACGCGGGAATCCCCGATTTCCACGAAGACGCCCGCCAACGGCTAAGCCACCACCGGACTCATGCCAGGTGTAGATTGGATGGGCACCTATCAAGGTTCTTACACTCCGTACTGAGGAAATCGCTAGAGGCGATCCTCGATCGATCAGATTGACATTCTGACAGACTATTGAATTCATCCTCACTTCCGGTCCTGAAGTCCTGCCTCGTGAGACAATCATTCGCCTCATCCAGGTCGCTGTGAAAGAACAGTGGCCGTCTCAGTGGCAGGTAGCAGTATTATTCACGGAGCTGAGAATAATTGCAGCAAAGGCAATGCTGCATGTAACCGGCTGCAACCCAGCAGCCACTTTGACTAAGGCAACCGTACCTCGGCTGCGGCTGCGAGGGGGAGGAAAACAGCCCATCGACCATCAACAATTCTTCAAATGAGACAATGTCTGTAGTGTGGGTCGGATCTCAAAGTCTTGCCAGAGCAGAAAAACGGGGACAGCAACCGGGGGTTGCTATTTCTGAAATGCCAATGGCCCTCCAAGGCCGAATGTCTCGCCCACATGGGCCGACTCCTCACCAATTAGGGCATCCCTTGGTCACGCCCCACCCGCCGCTAAATTTGGGGCTGGAGGACCCTGAATGATTCAATGAATAGTACGGACTGGCTGAGAGACAATGACAGCATAGATCCTGGTTGCAGCTGCAGGAAATAATGAGAAATAATGACTGGCTGTACTGGGTTGGACAAGGTGGTCATGGCTTCACAGCTGTTCTGGAAGATATAAAGGGCCCGTCTATCCGGCTCCTCGTTCCCTTCTCGTCATCATCATCATCATCAACATCATCATCAACACTTCCCCTACACTGCACAACCACATTACCCTCTAATCACTTTTAATCCAACCCCAACCACCACCATGCAGCTCAAGAACATCGTCCTCGCCGCCTCGGCCGCTGCCACCGCCGCCGCTCTCCCGGCCACCGACGCCTCCTCCCAGAGCCAGACCTTCGGCATCGTCTCCATCCACTCCGGCAGCGCCGTGCAGTACCAGCCCTTCACCGCGGCCAAGAGCAGCCTCTTCGCCGGCCTCCCTAGCCAGAACGCCAGCTGCGCCCGCCCCAAGGAGCAGACCGCCACCTTCTACATCCAGGACGGCGCTCTGTACCTGTACGACCAGTCCGCCACTCCCCAGGAGTTCTACGTCGACCGCTCGGGCATGGGTACGTCCTCTTGCTCTCTTTTTGCCGGACTATTCATAAACCCCCCCCCCACCCTTCACCAATACTGACAGCTATGCGTATCAGGCCAGGGTAAGATCGGCTACACGACCGGCGCCCAGCCCGCCCCCAAGAACGCGGAGCGCCAGGGCTGGTCCATCGACAAGAACAACCACCTGCAGTTCGGCGGCAGCGACCTCATCGCCTGCCCCAACAGCATCGACGGCGCCTGGAGCATTTGGGCCAGCGCCGGCGTGAGCAACCCCGCCGGCAACAGCGACTGCGTCGGCATCGCCGCCCGCGTCGAGACCACCACCAACCCCAACGGCTGCCTGTACACCGAGTAAATGCTGCATGCAGCTAAGAATCATGACAGCCTCCGGTCTGGACGCGGTTGATCCAAGGGAATCGAGCTGTTTGAGATAGTTCGGTATATGTTCGTGACCGGGCATTGTCATACTGCATTTTATGCATCGGTGGGAGAAAAGTGGAGGAAGGTGGATGGTATTGACAATTTGTAATTGCGATAGGATCTGAGTTCTGGTTAACTGCAATATACTCCCTCCACATCATCTTTTTCCTTGGATAGTAGTGCATGAGGTGTAGTTTCCTATTTTATCCGATTTAATTAAATCCCTTGGAAAAACTGTCAGCTCACCGCATATACCCCAACCCCATTGCAATATTCGTCCTCAGCTGCCGAACCGCAACCTCCACCATCTCCCTCTCCTTGCCATCGACATCACCAAACGGAAGAACCCTGCTCGCACCCTCCGGCCCCAGCACCGTCCGCACAGCGAAGTACTCCATCCCAAGCTCCTCCGCCATCTCTCTTCCCCCTCAATACCAGGTAAATACACAAAAGCCTCCTCAGTGACATCCTCCCACCGCAACCCGGCCAGCACAGCCTTGACGAACTGGAGCCCCGCATACGCCATGCACGTCGTGGCGCTCCCGGCTCCCTGCTTGCTCGTGACAGTCTCGTCGCCACCGAATTGCACGCCTAATTGTTCGTAACAGAATTAGTATTCAGGTGTTTTCTCCCGCTAATGCTTTGGAAAAGATAGGGAAAGACGAACGATGCACAAGACCAGCACGAGTTACCTCGTCGGCGTGAATAGGCGGCTGCGCCTGGCTGTACAGCGGCACGATCGTCGCGCCGCTGTAGTTGACCGGGTTGGTTGGTGACGATGCAGGCGATGGCTGCGGGGCAGGTAGTGGCGATTTCGGTGAAGATGTCGCGGATGATGGACGCGTGGGTCTGGGCAGCCAAGGGTTAGTGGGGCCCCGGCTGATTGTGTAGACTGCGACTCCCTAGTGCGATCCTTGAAGAGATCTTATGTACTTGCAGCTCGGTGGGAGGCGGTTGATGAATTCTGCGTCGAAGGCGCCTGCTACCTGCTCGATGTTAGAGAACTGTGCTTCGGGTGCATGGGGGCTGGATGCTGTGTTGGGTGGGGCGTACGGCCCCGCTGGCTGAGGTGCGGTAGATGGCGAATATGTTCTTGTATTCGGTCTGCAGGGCGTGGGAGAACTCCGTTCGGCTTTTGCTGGTGATCACCTCTGTGTGGGATACGTCCTGGAGCTTGGTGTAGATGGGTTGGGCGTGGCGGATGGCGTTGAAGAAAAGGACGAAGGGTTTAAGAGGGCATTTTCTTGGGTTGAGATGAGGGATGATTTCGGTGTGGGACTATGTTGCAAATGTTTGAATTGGAATCTGGAATCAGTGTGGTGATTTGTGCTATACTGACAGTAGATCACAGTAGATTACTAGACAGCTGCAAGTGGTTAAGCTTATCTACATGCTGCAGCCAAAGCGACGTGGAAAATTAGGGCAATCGTTCTGCCGCCAGGAGAGCGTTGGGGATGGTACAGGTAAAGGTTTCGGCGCAATTCATCGACCACCTGCTCACGGTGGGCCTGAAACGCAGTCTGTATGTCTATTTGGAGTAAAGAGATTTATGCTAGTCAAAGACATTGTGTCTTTCTTTTTCTATTCGTATCTGAGTATATACCCGCCAGCCCCTTCAGGCTAAACGGCTGTCACCATAAGGAAACCGCTACTGCATCCAACAGCAACATAACATCCCCCCTCCCTTCTTTGATACCACAAGCCTACTACTCACTGTCAGGAATACCAACCAACTCCGCCTCATTCCGCGGAATCGTCCGCAACCACCGGAACAGCAGCTCGGCATCATGGATCCGATGCAGCGTGTCGCGCCCGGGGGCGAGCTGCACATAGAAGTAATTCGGCTCGGGTGGCTGGCAATTCGGGGACACAATGCGTTCACGGTAAAGACGCATCCAGTCGCCGGCGTAGATGATGCCGTACAGGGGCTTGGCCTGCGGGTGGTAGAACCGCAGCCGCCGGAACTCGGCGAGCAGGGCGCACAGCGGCTCCGATTCCCACGGGATGACGGAGAGAGCGGGTTCGCGCACCGTCACCACAGTCAGCGTGGTCGCGAGGTTGAGGCGGATGAAGGCAACCTCATAACTGGGAAAAGGGTTGGTGATGAGGTGCATGTCCCTCGTGGAGAGGGTGAAGCCAGTGGGGCGGGGCTCTGGACGGGTAGCCATGGTCATGCGCCGAGGTGGGTGGGGTGGAGTTGGTACGGGTTTGGCCATTGTTTTGGCCGGATCCATGGGGAATGGCGGTTGGAATTGGTTGTACAAAGGGTCAAGATGAGGTTATATACAGAGTTGTGGGCAAATGTGTCTTTGTGTTTGTGTCGGTGGGTTCAGAGGAGACTGTGACATCTGCTTTGTTCTAATTGACAGTCACCCTTAGTGGAGCTTTCGAACATCATCATAAGAGGGTATGATATTGTACTCTATGAAAGACCTTTATGAAGACTTTCAGCTGAGACTAGAAGGGAATCTGTCTGCATCTCAGGCATTGTGCAGTAACACACATCTAGAAAGATATTTCACTCTACTTGGTGATCAATATCCGGAGTCTTTCACCTATGATGTCAAGACCTACCTTCAAAGCTAAGTCAATATATCAAACATTGACACATAGAAACGGGATATTTTCCATGTCTTTAGGGCCGATTGTTTCGTTTGTTATACAATGTTCGTTCTTGACTTTTAATCAAACGGATTCTGCCGGAGATCTGCAGCCGGAGACCTCAAAAGGATCGTGAGTGTAATGCCATAGAAGATGGATACAATAATGAGCATTTGACTGGAGTGGGACCTTCTGGCTCAGCATGGAAGCAGCGTGGTCTGTGCCTAGGATATCAGTAGAGAGTGTAAATGTTTGAAGCAGTAGGAAAGGCGAAAGCAAACTCTTCACTCTCGATTGTATTTTAGCTAATGTATGCGGACTTTGATGTGTTCTATATGAGGAAACATGTATACTGTTGGAGGCATGATAGGTTTGGACTGACTATCAACAAAAAGACATACCGTTAAGGTCACTCCTGCTGAAGAGATCTGGTTGTCAAGTACAAGCCTACGTCTAATCTAGATCATACATAACTAACCAGATTTATAAGAATGAGACGAAATTAGGAAGTAATGATGAAGATCACTGATCAAAGGCTCGACGAGGTATTTAACATGTACACTTCAGTAACAATCAATTCACAATTAGCAATATCCTCCATAGTTGGTATCTACTCTTTTCCCAGGTACAACAATCGTCTTTGAATTTTTTCAGTTAGTAATATGTTGAAATCCTTATCTACGATGCTCTTTATTTGATGGCTGAAATCTTTATTTAGGAGGGGACTGGCCGGGATCAACGGCAACAGCCCCATGCCCTGTGGTAGTATCCAGCTTTTTGGACAGACTTGGAATTGTCTGGCTATAGGAGAATATCGAAAGCTATACCGCTCCACTCTACTACGCTTTCCTCTTATCTCCTTTGTCTTCATGAAGCTTGATGGCTACGTAAAGGCATTCTGAAATGCTCCGAAAGTCTTTCGTTGCCGTCGTATATCATCACAAACCTCATATCCAGGGATGGACTGCCATCAAAGAAGGTCGCACAAAGTTCAGGATATCTCCACTAATTCGAGTGCAGGCAAAGAACTTTCTCCATAAGAGCCACAAAGAAATTGCCCTGAAGCCCAGCTCACTGAAAGCCCATTCCATGCTATAAATAGTCCAAGACCATCTATGATTAGGAACCATCCACCCCCCCATCCACCCCCCCATCCACCCCCCCATCCACCCCCCCATCCTCACAACACCCATGACTACCACATCTACAAGCACCTTTGTAGACCGGAACCCCTCACCCGCAGCCATGAAGTTCCCCCGAATTGTTGTTGAGGGCAACCTTGTCATCAATGGCAACGTGTACATAGGGGTCCCAGCCTGCCCCTCCGGGGATGCATCTGGGTCTGAGGATGCGAGCTCATCGAACACCTCCTCGGAGTACTGTACCTCTCCCCGACCGCAATGCACCTGTACCTCGTCGGTGTGTACCTCGTGCACCTCGTCCGAGGGCAGCAACACCGTGGAGTGCGAGTATTGTACCTGTACCTGTCCCCAGCCTCACTATCATGGCGACGGCTTCTCGAGCACCTCTTCGGGCACCTTGGGGTCGCAGGACAATGTACCCCGGTTCTTCAACTGGACTCCTATACCAGTTCTGCGGGCCCGCGCGACGCCCGAGGTCTCCTCGCCCCCCTTTTTCGAGGCCGAGGATCTCCTCGACCTTCACCCCGAGGGCTCACCGTGCCCGGAGGCCTCACCAGCCCCGGAAGCAGGCCCAGCGAGCCCGCCACCCCGGCTCGGCCCCCTCTCCCGCGGGTTCACAAGTCACGAACTCCGCACACAGCCCGCCCCTATCGAGCAACCGTTCGAGCTCTACCACGCCCACGTGAGCACCACGACCTTCGTCGTGCTCATCGTGTGGACGAGCGCGACCCCCATCGACTGGCAGGGCGAGACGCTGCGCGTCATGCAGCACGAATTCCATTGCCTGCGGGCCCTCAACCACACGGCCCAGGTCCTCCACGGGGTCATCAAGGCCGGCAAGGAGATCTGCCTGTACCGCGAGGCCGGCAACGGCGAGGTCGACCAGTTCACCCACAACGGCCGCTCCCACTTCCACGAGGAGGACGACCTGTTTATTCTCCGCCAGTGGCGCGACCGCGTCCCGCGCGAGAAGATCGAGGGGGTCAGCGACACGGACTCCGATGTCTCGTCGCCGTACCGGCCGCGCTTGTCCTCGAGCAAGTTCTTGAATATTCGGGAGGAGGATCGGGACCCGCGGTAGACTGGGTTGGGGTTGAGGATGGGGTTTTGCCGGGTGGTCTCTGGCTAATCTGAAAACAGAAAAATGAAAACGGCCCTGAGAAGGGTTTATTCAATGATATTATGTGGTTCTCTGTAGATTTTCTTTCCAATTTGTAATCTGTTGTTGCTGTCGGGGTGTCATTAAGCCTGAAAGCTGATCCAAGCGCTAATATATTCTTGACCTAGGTAGGCAGTTCTTGAAAGATAGGGCTATGCCTACGCACCCCAGCTAGCTAAACTTACAACTCAGCGGCATAACTCCAAGTTCGCTGCGAAATCGACAATTGGAGTATCAAACAGCTTTTCTACAACTCGCGACATTATAGAGACTACGCCCGATACTAACAAATCGGTGAGTCAACCATGTATTCTATATTGTGGCCTTCAATGAATACGTAAAGCTCTGGACAAGCTGTGAACCTAGCAGACCCGGGTACTCTTCGCATCCACTCCTGAAGCCCTAAGTCAGTGAAGAACCCAAACCACGCCGCTGTCCCAATATCCAAACAACCAACCCCTGTCCACTCCCAAGCAGCAAGCAGATGCAAGCTTCGACCTAATGCACCAACGAGCCCGACAGAACGTGGCCGCCTGCTGGCCTTCTCACTATCGAAACTCAATTTAATCGACCATTACCTGCGCCCCACCGTCCATTACAATCTGTATTCTGACTGGCGCACAGAATCTTTCCTGTCCACTGCCCGCCAAGACTGTCCTTGGCACGCAACACATGGTCTGGCCATCAACGGAGTTCTGATCCTGCAGTCGTGAGCGCTGCCCAGAGAATTAGGATATTTTCTACTCCAGCGGTTATGCAAGGGTTACACGGGGTTAGGACTCGAGACGAAGGCACGTCGAGAGTTCGCGCTAGATGGAATAAACTCTGCAGCATGCAGCATCCTTGCTAGTTTGTCTGCGGCGTTTTTCTTCAGAACAAGCTCTCTGGCCATCAGAATTTGATTTTTCCATTGCCTTTGTGCACATACTGACAAATTGTACAAACCCTGCACCGAGCGCCAGGGCCAACCCCACTGAGCAGCAGGAAACTACTCCAGCCGATATGAACGACACCGCAGGCATCCGGCCGAAACAAACCTTCCCAGAAAGAACCCCGGAAGAGGGCGGGACCGAGCCAGGGCAGAGAATTCTTTGGTGTGGTTGACCGTAGGCGAGATCGCATCCACAGTGCCACACTGACCCCAACAATCTATACTGCTTTCAGTGTAGCCGCCCCGCCGGATAGATTAAACTAGTGCTGACGGCGCGGACCGGACTGCACAGACTTGATTAAGGGTGCAATTATGGTCTCCTCCGCTCGTGCTGTAGTGTGCGCTGCATGTTACAGAAGAAAAAAAAAAGATGAAAAGGGATGAGAAAAATCGTATGGTGAAAAGTATGTACACGAAAGAAAGGAAACCGTCCTCGGTCGAGGACCATGCTCCAGGCCAGCCTAGCGCAACCAACTCTCCTCCGGTGCATGCGGCGTCGTCCTCCCTGCGGCCTCGACATCACTATGCGCGCTACTCCACGTCTCATGCGTGATCTCGATCTGGTTGGAGACGACGATCGCCCCGTTCTCAGCACCTGGATGGGGTGCAACCGGCGCAGGATACGCCTTGAGCGCCTGCATCTTCACATCGTCCATCATGCGCTCCTCGCTCTCCGTGAACGTCAGCCCGATCGTGATCGGATCCGAGGCTTTGCCGCGGTTGCGGCTCGAGGAGCCGCCTGGGCCAGCTCCGCCACCCCCGATGGTTTGAAAGCCGGACGGGTTCTTGTAGCTCTTCTGCGAGGACTGGAAGGCGCTACCGAAGGCGCGCGCCAGCCAGGTGCGCAGCAGGTGGAAGACCATCGGGAGGTTCGTGGTGATCACCGCCGCGAAGGTCTCGCGCGTGCCCCATTCTTCGGCTAGGGAGGCGCCGTTGTCTTGTTCCTGGGCGGGAGTTAGGGTTCCCGGGAGGCTTGGAGTAAGGACGGAGTAAGACTCACCACTATGATGAAGACGGCCTTGAGGGTCGCGCAGACGAGAATGAAGATTCCCGCGCTCAGGATGATGGTCGCCGCGATCTTTTTGATGACTTTCAGGCTGGAACCCCACAGCATGGGGATCGGGAGGAGGATCAGGTACGGGTCGGTGAGGAGGTTGGAGGCGAATGTTATGGCGACGACGGGCATGGAAATAGCGGGTTGACAGACGTCTGATCGTCGTTATCAGTAGTTTTATTTCTGATTGTGATCGAGGTGGGACTTACTGCCGGGATCAGGGTAGATTTGCCAGTTCTTGTGAAGTGGGCGGCATGACGCGAGGATTGTGATGATGCTGGCGAGAAAACTTCCAACCACCAGCACAAACCCAATGTAGATGGGAATGC